AAGTACATCAGGTAACTCTTTAAAATGTATCTATTAGTTAATAAGATGATTTTTCTTGCTTTTAGCTATTTATATTTTATATCATGTAGGTACGTACTTTGTTTTTAACTTGGAATTTTTTGGAGGTGCACCAGGTAACTTTAAAAAAACATTTCTATTTACTAATAAAATACTTTTCTTGCAGTTTTGAACCGTTCGCATTTCATTTTATAATCTTATTTTATTTCACTTTATTCTCTTTTAGGTGTGTTACGAATTAGAGTTTTTTACAATTTTAAGGCTAAATGTGACACCGGATTCCAACTAAACTCCTCAACAAAATAGGCATTACGCGGACAAATTTCGACTAATTTTGGAACTGGGTGATGACTGCTGAGAGCGAGTTGATATCTGATCGAAGCGTTATTTTAGTGCAATCCTTTTTCGATTAGTTTGCGTAGCAAGCTTGCTGATAGCAAGTTCCAGAACTTATCTAGCAACTTGATAGCAAGTTCCAGAACTTGCTGATAGCAAGTTCCACATGCTATCAGCTGGACAAAAAACGTTACGTTTTTTGTATTTGAACACCACAGGAATTCAGATTTTGAGACAAATTTTGAATTTTGCGACCATCTCGTTTTATTATTTACAGAGGGGTCTGGGGAAAATCAACTTTTTGGTCTTGTAGTCATACATTTTGTTCTCTTGAACCGAGTCTTAAGATCTAAGGCTCATATTGAAGCTAAAACTTCTCAGCAAAAAATTCAATACTTAGAACTACTTACAATAGAATTGATTACCTGAATAAACGAAATATTTGAAAGTAAACTTTACTTTATTTGAAAATATGCCAGAATCACAGATTTCGGGAGAAATTCTAAATTTCTACGCAACCCCGTATATCGAATGTTTGTCTTAAATTGTCTATGAAGTTTTAGCTTCACGATGAGCTCTAGATCGTGAGGCACGGACCATTAGCAGAAAAGTTATCGCTGCAAAGCCAAACAGTTCAATTTTCAGATCACCCTGAAAATAGAAGAGATGGACGAAAAATTCAATCACCGTTCCGAGCTATTTGATTCCTATATCTTTAAACTTTTTGTGTCGGGCCCCAAAAAAATACTTTTTTTGTCCAATTACAATAATGCCAAAGTTTCAGAAGTTTTTCATTTTTTCAGTTGCCAACCTGTAAATAATTTATCTGAGATACATAATTTGATTAAAACACTAACTAACAAAAATCAAATAAAGGGGCTAGATAAATCTAAAACGCTTCAAACAGAAACTAAATCGGTACTAGCAATAGGAATTTATCCAGTTTCAAAGTTAGGACAAATATGACTGTGTAACGTTCATTCTATTGAGCAGTTTAGTTAATATTTTTGTATCAGGCTTCTTCAAAGTACGGAAAATAACTCATTCATTCCTGACAAGAAACATTAAATACGAATTATTGTAAATATCTAAGAGGTGCTTTCAATTATAATGCAAACACGTGCAAAATAAACGAAGATATATGAGCTATTCAAACAATTATTTGCAACACTTAATATACGTTTGATGATTGACGCAGCATTGCGCGAAATAAATTCTTTGGATCTTAGCGTAGTGAGTTTTGTGAAAAAAAAAATACTTTTATGGGGCAATGCATTTTTGCTTAATTGTGACAAAAAATTTACTTGCTGGCTTAAGTGCACTAAAAAATATTCTAATTTATTTCAAGTGATGACCAGTGTTGAAAATTATCCTAATTCCGATAAGGTTTTTTTAATACATTTTGTAAAAGCTGCTGATATTGCCAAATTATATTATACATATTTATAACGTTTACAGTTTTTTTACCAAATTTAATTTTGGTTAACATTTATAAGGTAAATTTTTATTCTTATATATTTTAAAAGCGTAATTTCTTTCCTTAAATCCTGTTATTCCTTAGATATACCTTTATTATTCCAAAAATAATAAAAAATCACCACTTACAAGATGGTTTCTTCAAGAAAGTTTGGAGAATGTTAACTTGCGTTCTTCACAATCAGGCGTACTTAATAAACTTAATAAACAATGAAGAAAATACTAAAAAAAAGTAATTTTATTTCAAATTGAATTAATTCTTTTGAAGCGCGGTATACAGGGTGTTTGGTGGGTAGATGCATTCCTTGCAGGGGGTGATAGTGCAATTAATTTTGGATATATTCCGTTAATAGACCAGGTTCCGAAAGCCATTAGTTTCTGATCTACCGGGTGTTAAAGTTTTAATAAAAAAAATATTATTTATAATAACCGCATGGACTATTATAATTAAATTTGATAGGCGTAGGCAACTACGAACAATACACGTTTTGCGATAAAAATGATGTTTCTATCTTTTCCAGTGACGTGGCTACAGGCACGTCTGTGGATAATTTTAAATAAAAAAATGTTACTCCACTGATTTTTCTAAAAGTAAATAAAATATTTTTTAAGTTCCTGTTCAATTTGAACTACTTTTTTCTACGACGTCCCGTTTGCGAGTAAACAAATTAAAATCTATTTACTGCACAGCGTAATCGGGGTTTTTTTTATTAAAAAGTTGGCTATGCGCTAGTTTTTGTCACTGATTGACAAAAGTAATAACTGTTGTAATTTCGAGTGTCTGAGTAACTTGTCCTTCCATAGTGACCTTCTTTTTGCGATTTATGTAATTTAGAGTAACTTCACATCAGTTGAAAACTTTATTTGTTGAACTGGCTGAGATTTCCAATGCTGAATACGCAGATATTATTTACATTTATGGACTTTGCGACAGAAATAGTGGCGGCTTCCAAATATCCGTGTCTTTGCAAACACCTATCGAAGGGTCAGTGAGTCAGGAGAAGTACAAGGTAGGCAAATTCACGTAGGAGCAACCTGTAAGGGAGTACCTTGATCAGCGTTTTCCTAATCGATGGATGGGGAGAGGACATATTATGGCCTGCTAGAAGCCGAGATCTAACTCCGTTAGACTTTCGCATATGGGGTAGGATGAAAGAGTTGGTTTATGCCGGAGAAATACATACATTTTCGGCCAGGGTAACCCTGACAGAAATAAGAAGGCAGGCACATGCATGCGTTAGAGAAGAGAGCTTCATTTTGAGCAAGATCCTAAGTAGTCATGAATTAAAGAATAACATTTTTTTCCCTATCAAAGCAAGCTTGGTGCTCATTTCAATACTAAGAATAAGTAAAATTTTAATTAACAGGTAAATTAATCTAATAGGTAAAAACAAATAAAGAAACTCTTTATTATGCAAGACAAAATTGATGCAATCTAACTGTGCAATTTTTGCTGTGTTTATACTAAACCATACTTAACTACAACCCGATTAAGCTATGCAATAAATCGATTTTAATTTGTTTACTTGCAAACGGGACGTCGTGGAAAAAGTCAAGATACATTTTCTCTTCCAAATTGAACAGGAACTTGACAAATATTATTTATTTTTAGAAAACTCAGTGGCGTAAGATTTTTCTATTTAAAATTATCTACAGACATGCCTGTACGCACGCCACTGGAAAAGATAGAAACAACATTTTCATCACAAAACGTGTATTGTTCTTAGTTGCATGTGCCTGTCAAATTTCATTATAATATTCCAAACCATTTCCGAAATATTAATAAATAACTTTTTTAAATTAAAACTTTAACACCCTGTAGATCGGAAATTAATGGTTTTCGGAACCTGGTCTATTAACGAAATATATCCAAATTTACTTGCACTATCACCCCTTGCAAGGAATGCATCTACTTACCAAACACCCTGTATGTAGACACTTTAATTCTACACAGCTTCTGTAAATACTTTAATTTAAAAAAATGTTTCAATATTCGACTTGGTTTATGCTAAGCTGACTGACAGTAAACGTCAGAAAGTGTACAATGGGGAAACCCGTCTTTTGTTAAAAATCGCACTAGCTTCGGTTGTAGAAATATCAAGAACCGACGATAAATAACGTTTTCTTTTAGAAAATCACCACTTTTTAGTGCCAAAATTTAAAAAGTCTGGAATTTATGGAAATCTTTACGGAGCAATCCACTCATGACTTTCTATCTGCCATTATTCAATTGACTAACTGTGAAGTTAAAATTAACGAGCTTTCGAAAGAATATTTATGCTTGATAATCACGGAGACTCAAATATAAGCATGTTTAAATAAAATTATTACGGTAGGTATTTAAACTTATATTTCTTTCACTTATACGACACATTTCCTAGATAAGTGCTAGATATGTATATTCCACCATAGTACGCAAGAAAAATATATCGACATGAATTGAATTAAAAAATATAGCATCTATTTTACCTGGAAAATAAATCACTTACAACCGAGTACTTGACACTCTGAGCCGGTTGATTTCGCATGCCGAGCGTTGGACTGTGACAACCGCTGTCGGCTCTGTTTGTTATTTGCAACTTGAAGATGGCATGACTCACCACATTGTTTTATCTTCTTCGCTTTGTTTCGTATTCTTGAATCATTTATCACGCTAGACCACCCCTAAATACTCGCACAGATCACTAAACACCAAACCAAAGAACAATAAAAACAGAACATGTAAGTCAAGATTAATGTACGTAAAATAACGTTAATTAGGTCAAGAATTAGTTAATTAATTAACAATAAATAGTTGTTTCATATTGGAAAAAAATATTTGAAGCTTTATTGCATCTATAAAACTGTTGTTCCCCCGTCACGTAAACAGTTAAAAAATCAACCTTTTAACTGCATAAACTTGTTTCAGCCAATAGGAAAAATTTTAAGAAATGTTTGGACAGCCCATTTATAAAACACGCATGTACCGTAAAAACAAAGTACAATGTGCAAACTTAGGACAAGAAAGTTGCCTAATAATCCAAGAAACATCATCATCAAATTAGGAAAAAGTATAATTATTCATTAATTTTAAAAAATAACGGGAGAGAAACGTTTTTTAATATGTATAGCTATCCCTGACCAAACAGCAACACTATTTCCCAATGCTTGCAAAAACCACACGCACAATAAATGTTTTAATAATATATTTTATTGCGAATTATGAATGGTATAAAAAGTTTCTCAATAAACTACGTTATTGTTATTATCTTAATATTCTGCTGAACTCGAAAGTTCTGAAAACAATGTTCAATTGACGGAAATAGAGCCTCAGACATGCTGCAAACTGTTCTGAATTAGAACTCAAGCAAAGCAAATATAACACAAACAGTATATAAAACCTGTAAATAGTCAGAACATTAACAGTCACATCAAAACAGAAGCAGTCCTAAAACTGCAGATTCAATTTATAAAAACATAAGGCACAATATACTACGAATATACACAATACAGTACTTACAAGTAAACGTAAAACAATCGAAATAAAATTATTTTAATAAAATATCTGTATATAAAAATTAAAAAGACGTTGCGACATGTAAACTGTCTTTGGACGGACTCGAGAAGAATTTCAATTGCAATGAATTACAAAAAACATTTAAGATTCTCATTATCACCGTAGTGTTTGTTTTTGGAATTTGGACGGATACTACAAAAAGTTCAGTAACATTAACACTCTACCATCTAAATTACAAACACATTTGAGATTCGCATAATCACATTAATGAATCATTATGGAATGATGCGGAACTTAACAAATTCTAACAACTTAATTCTAGGTATTAAAATTCAATCATGACCAGTCGAAAAAATTATGGTAGACTTAAGTTCTCCAGCTGGGTATTTAGAAGTTACCAAAATGTCCTCCAAAATACGAAAAGAGACAAACTAAACCCTACCAAGACATTTGAGACACTAGGATTTTTTGCAGAGTTGCACTCATCATCGGAGCAGTAACATTCTTGCCAATAAATGCCATTTTCATATACGCCCCAATTACAGACTCCCGTAACCCCAGTATCAGAAACCGAAGCACATCGACGAATCACCTGACGCCATCTCCCATTCCCTTGAAAATAAATATAATTGCTAAACCATGATCATTTAATACAAATATAAAATCCGACTACAAAAGGCTGATGTCCTGAAAGTGATATTACTTATTAATAGAAAGAAACTAACGAGCATAGTAATGTAGTAATAATATTTTTTTTGTAGTTTAACGCACTGAAACTACGATAAGCTTATCTTGTACCTGAGGTCCAAAACTAAATTTTTCAAAATGTAATGGTTCAAATATTACACCCTGCATAACTCCCATTAATCAAGTGTATAATTAAAAAATATTATGGTAGTATTTAACAACTATTTCATATTTCTAAAGGCATTCCTCACTAGCTGATTATTACAAAATTTAGGATTTTAATCAATATTTTACCATGTGCCAGTTTTAAACGCTTAAAATGATGCCCTAGATGCAAAAATGTTGAAAGCGTGACTAAGTTTCATTTCCAAGTAATTATTGTCGTGTTATTTTATTAATGTTAATCCAATATTACTTTATTACTTAATATTGAAAAGCGATTAAATATTTTGTAGTTTCGGACGAATGTCTAGAAAACCTTTAGAAAAATGATTTAAATTTGATGTAGGTAAGTTCACAGCATTGTTTCAGGCCTATGATGATAAAATGAATAACTTACAAATAAAGCCTCTAGGACTCTGCTGGGTAACTTTCATGCAAAATGAGCCAGGCACATGACTTTCTTCACTATTGCACTCTATCGCAATGTGATTCCTTTTATCGAATTTGTTATATGCTCCACATTTATCCTCTCCCTTCAGGTCTTCAGCACTACTGCATTGGTAACACCTTACAGCTTCGCCTATTGTAAAATAAACAATTCATTGAACTGGAAAACCCACTTAAAATCAAACACACAGCAAAAACTAGCTAATAACCAATGTGAAGCTGAATAATAAAATCTGTTGGAAACTTGGGGAGTGGTTTGTTGTTAATGGGGAGGCCTCAAACTCAAAAACCTACCAAACTTTACAAAACTCAAGAATACCAAGATATTGAAACAGAGCATATAAATCAAGTTGATTTCCATCTTAAAATATAAATTTAACTTAAGTATAACAGTTTAAAAACAAATAAAACTGAGTCTTGACTGTTTAAATACCCTTAATTGTTTGGGATGTTTTGACAGTGAAGTCATCACGAAACTAGACTGAAGTTAGGGCAGAGACAAGTCTTGTACTTGTCTCTGGTTAGGGTTTGATTTCAACCAACAACAGAAATGGAGGATATTGATGTGATGCTTTCAAATCGGAACAACAGTATGTTGAATGAATATATTGAATTATAATGCATTATAGCAGAATGTTTTCTTGGGAATATAAATTTAAAAAATCGAGTTTTCGATGCTAGTTATTTAACATTGAAAATAGTATGTTTCCGTTTGCTTTTTACTGTTTGGAAATTCACACTCCATCCCTGTGGTCAATTCATTGAGTCCATTGAGTCGTTTGTCAAAGTCAAACTCATCTGACTGACTCAGATTTGTATAAATTTTACCATATTGTTTTTGTTTACAATTTTAGAAATATTGTTTAACTTAAACTTACAAAAATGTCCGTCTCGCCAAAACTATGACTGAGCTATACGAGTCTGATTTCGATAACCCCGCCTCTCCTAAAAGTTTCATATGGTTTATTATTATTTTATACCTAGAATTAATACATATTATGACTATGGTTCTTTACGTCCTCACTAATTACAGATAATGGAAAGTATTTCCATTATGGAACACATTCTAAATGTAAGTTTAAAAGATGATCCATAGTGCAATTATAATAACGCAAGTTTAATCCCATATAGCCTAAGCACCTTCAGACAGATTTTGTATTATCACAAGAAGGTGATAAACATACCCTAGTGATAGATAAAACTGTTATACAACAATGTGGCAGGCATGATATATATGTTTTAGATTTTTTATGTCGTAGTTGGAAAAATGAGGTAAGTACATTCCAACGGCAATACCTACCTATTAAGCTCCTGTTAATGTGTCGAAATGCACGAAAAGCATATTTCGCCCAAAGTATTGGCAATTTTCTAGTGTCTCCCTCGTTTTCTAAGTTAGAAATTTTCGTATGCTTTAGATAAACATTTTACCGATAAGTTAAGTACGGGGGTTTCTTGAGGAAATACTATTTTCTATCACTTTTGATATTACATATATGCGTTTTACCATACCGAATCCTTACGGTCAAAAATCCTCAACACTTTGCTAAACTTCCCATTTTGATAGAGAAGTTTGAAGTTTGAAGTCACTCAATTTAATTATTAAATTTAGCATCATTTACTTAGTAAATGAGAAGGATTCTTTTTGTGTTAATATCTGCAGATTTAATTTTGGAGTCATCATCATACAATCAATCTGTAGGAATATGAGAATAGAAGAATTATGAAAACAAATTCATAATTCTACATCAGATAAGCAGAAAATATACACCGTATCGATTTGAAGCAATTGCGATAAATCGCTCTACTTCACTGACCAAAAGAAAAAACTCTATTTAATTTTGAGCATCATGTAGAATTTGATTGATTACATTTAAGTAAAAGTATTTTTATTTGTTAATGGATAATATTTTAAATTATATGTACAGGAATGGCGAATGCCAACAAATGGAAAAATACGGATTAATAAAAAATGTAGCATTAAAACGCCCAGAATTTTTTGGGATTTTATCTTAGAGATAAACCATTTTTTTCAGCCATCGGAAGAGTCGGAGGAGATGTTTACTTGAAAATTGTGCAATTGACTATAAATCAGCCAATGCCGATTTCGGCCTAAAATTTTAAGCAGACTGAAATAAATAAAAAAAAAAAATTTTTAGTATGTCCAGAATACTTACGCACGTTTTACATAATTATACATAGTATCCCAATCTATTCAAAAACGTCTATTAGACATTAAAACGCAGCCTAAAAGCCTAAAGAAATTGACAAATTAAACTGCCTCTCAGCAACTACCACTTCACATAATGTATACTATAAGCACATACTTTATTTGTAGTTGAATGGAGTAATTTTAAATGTTGAAGAGGATTTTAATCCACAGCTCCAACTCTCCTTATTCCTTGGAGCTCTGCATAAATCCTTCCAGACCCAATTTCGAGTCCTAGTGGTATGTCCAGATGAAGCACTTCTAAAATGGCATTACCATCTAACGACTTGTGGGTCTTTACAAGTAAAACGTGTTACTGAAGGTTGGTTTCCCATGGCATATGTAGATTATTCCATTATTTTGAGTGTTTTATTTTGCATTATCGTAGACATAACATTATACAGGGTAATTCAAATGCACGTCATTCTTCTGGAGTGGTTAAACAAAAAAGTCATTAAAAATGTAATAAATTCCGTAGTTCGTTATCAAGTTTATTCTAGATTAAAAAGTGGTTTTATGTGAGAACAACGGTTTCTGGCAAAAGTGTGCAAAGTTTATAGAATGGTAGAGATCCTTCAATTGTTTTCGATAAAGAGTTTGTTCAAAAGTTCCAGATCTAGAGAAACCTTCCCCTGACTATATTAGTGTGATTTTGAATTTATAAGTTAAAAACCGTCTTAATTGTTTGCTGCACAGTTCAGTTGCGCCAACTTTTACGGTTTCTGAAGAATCAGTTTGCTTCTTTGAATAAATAACACACTGGCTATAGATTTTAAGTTTTGAAGAGCACAATTTTAACAACTGAGGAGCTTATTTTCAAAACGCAATTTCTGTAAAAAATTTCGCTACTGAGTTAGAGATGGCGATCCACTCGCAGCGCACATTTCTTTCGATTGCCACTTGAATTTCTAGTTAAATAGCTATTTCTGCCATGTAAAACGCCCAGCAATTTAAATTTTTTTTTCAAAACGCAATATCTGCAATAATATTTTTTATCAAACCGCAATTTCTACATTTTACGTTTCAAATCGCAATTTCTGCAAAGAGTTCGTGTTTTCATTGTTACGTACGGTGTGCTGCGAAAGAGTTTTTGGAAATGGAGACAATGGAGAATTACATAGACACTGCTGTTGTGTCTGAGAAGATTCAAGGAACAAGGAAGAAGAAAAAGGGCACGAAAAATAGAAGGGAAAGACGCAAGGAAGTGAGGTAAATTAGTTATTCTAAAAATGAGGTTTACAAGTGAGGAAAACAAATTCAAGTTTTACAAAAAGAAGATTACGAAAAGTTGTTGGAAGCGGTTGGAACAGTAAGAAAGCTTGGAGTAGACTGGAACCTTTATGATGTTAAGAAAATGAGGGAATTAGTCAAATGAAAAGAATTTTTATTAAAAGAGAAAAAAATAGCAAAACAAAAAATACAACAATAAAAGTAAAAATGGAAGAATATTACCGAAATGAAGACATCCCAAAAATGTTTACGACTATTATGAAAAAAGGAGTGCAACTGGGTAAAGTAAAAATGAATCTGTTACCGTTAACCCATAAAGTAAAGGATTTAAAATTAGAAAATATTGAGTATATAAAAACTTGTTAGAGAATGAAAATAGCAGTTCCACAAATCCAGTCGATGAAGAAGGGAATATTTCCGATGAAGAGATCGAATGTGACTGCAATGAAGAAGATT